TGGAGCAAGAGCTGGCTGTGGGAAGTGGCTGTGTCCAGTGTCCCAAAAGGGCTGCCTTGAGTCCTTTCAGCATGAGACAGCTTCAAACCCCTCATCCCCTGTCCATCATGTTACACAGGGAACAGGAAGCTTCTGGAGGAATTGGGAAAGTGACATACAGTGCAATGAGTGACTGGAGTGCCAAGAAAGTGGCAGAGATCAAGAAACTAAAGAGCTGGAGCAACTTCAGATAGGACTGCAGACTCATCTAACAAAGACTGACGCATGCCAATGAGGAGGCTGTGGGTCCCCCAATCCTTGATGTCTCCCTGGGGATCCCCTGAGCTGGTTCAACATCAGGATAGTCAAATTCTCTCACTGAATTTTAGTTATATGCCGTATTTTTGGTCAAAATGTCTATTTGCAAGTTGAGCCACCCTCTCTACTCAGCTATATCATCCCTAAATGACTTCATAGTTAAAAATGAAAACAAATCTTTCTCCAGAGTAACTGGGGAAGAACAATGTCTGAGGCCCTGTAATTATTTCAACCAAAGGCAGTCTAATGGCTCCCTGGGCTCAGACAGCATATTTGGAAATAGACATTACTAAAAGAATGAAAACTATTGTCCAAGGAACTCTTTAGAAGCAAACACTGAGTTTGACTAAGAGGATGTAAGTTTTGTGGTGCAGAGGACAATCATCAAAATCTTTATGGTTACAATATACAATAGGTATAACATTTTTCCCTTTACTGAATTTGACTTGGAAGGTTCTGGGTGTCTTTCAGTACATGTACAGGTCAGTGAACTACCTTGAGTTGTAACATGAAAGTACCTTTGACATGAAAACATTTGTTAGACATGTATTATTGTCAAGCAAGATGGCCACACTGGTCCTGTCAGTAAGCAGGCCCCTTTGGAAATCAGCATTCTGCCTCTTTGTAAAAAGAGGTCCTTTATATAGTGAATTCCACATGCAGAGACCATCTTCTTTGAATTTCGCCCCTGTCTATACACTTTTGCAGAAGCCATTCTCTAGACTACCTTAGCAAACACGTTTGTGTAGCCAATAGCCTCGGAAGGCAGGCTGTCTCCCTCCCTGGAGGGTCAAGTTCTCTGCCGACAGTGAAGACTGAACAGGTTTATTGCTTCCCCTGCGGCTCCTCAGCTGTAATGACTCCACTGCAGAGGCAGCATCTCCTGGCACAAGCCCACACCACCGCACTGACTCAGGATGACAGAGCAGTGGGTGCGCAGAGCCTCTGTGTCCAGGACAGGACAGTGGCAGATGAACTCGTCAGCTTGTATTACAGTGCACACTGATCACTGAACAATGAAATAGTGAAAAAAATTGTGACCTGACCATTCACTTTTCTTACTCTTATACAGATTATCTACTAGATCTTGTTGCAAAGGGACTTAATGTTTTCAGACAGAAAACTTAGAAGTATACTTACTGTAGTAAAGGACTCATGTAAGAAAGGCATTATTGGGAGGAGTAATTGTAATTTTTAATTTTGTGTATTTGGTACAGGGTCTCACCATGCAGCTTAGACTTAGAGCGATCCTCCTGTTTCAGCCTCCCCAGTGCTGGGATTACAGGCGTGCTACCACGACCAGTTTTGGTGGCCGGCTTGGTGGTGTGCCTGAGGCAGGGCTGGCACGCATGTAGTGCCGGGGATCAAACCCGGGTCATTCCACTCGCCTACGCAGGCACTTAAACCATTGAGCTATCTCCCCAGCCCAGGGAGGGGTAATTCTATAAGATGCAGACTAGTCCCTCAGACTAAACCATTCTTTAAATAAGTCTTAACGCCCTCTACTGGAACCAAACCGGAAAATACAGTGAAATAAGTGAAGTTACTCTGCTCACTCTACAATAGCGTTCATCGATGCTGTTTTCCCCAAGTTTTAAGGTGGAGGCATCAGATGTGCAGAGATGTCAGCGGAACACAGCCTCCTCCCTCTCTGCGCCAGGCTAATGGACGAACACTGAACAAGCAGGTGCTGGCAAGTAGTCCTCACACCCTGAACTTGCAGCAGCTAGCTACTGACTCAAAGCCCACTGAGGGTCACAGCCTCTGTTCACAGACCTAACAAGCAGCCCCTCGCAGGTCCAGTCCATGGACAATGGGCGCCTACCACCCACACCAGCAAACTTGCCCAGCTTCCTCTCAGGAGTTGCTCTTGGGGGCATCAAGGCTGGTAGTCACAATGAAAGTCAACTTTGCCTCCAGCAGAGTACATTCGTGTTTAAATGTTTTTGATATTGTACCCAAATCAGAAAAAATATAACGCACCAATAAATGTATTTATTTATAAATTATATAAGTGTACAATTGTACAATATATTATGTACATTATAAAACACATAAAAATAGAAATTTAAAAGGATGAGATCAAATACAAATAATCATTTTAACATTTTCTCAACAGCTTGATCATCTGCATACTAGTGGGATGCACACACCCCCACCTGAATCCACAGCCCTAAAGCATGTCAATGACTGCTGTTATTTAGGTTTTTAGCTCAGAACAGGAAAATGTATGAGATCAAATCTTTAAGTTTTGCAATATAGCCCTAGCATTAGGTTTAAATGTATAAGGATGCTTGGTGCTAACTTCTTGAGACACACTTGGACTAACTACTACAGTAAGATGCCGCATTAGGTCACCAGTACTTACTTCACCTGAAGGCAGACTAAAAAGGGATTTCATGGAGTTGACTCAGAACATATGGAAAGGAGTTAAAGAAGCATAACGAAGAGTAAGATTTTCCTATCTGAAGTGGTGGGGGGGGGGTAAACTAAATACTAAGTCCCTAAAATGTCCCTCTGCCTAGTAGTAGAGAGATGCGGGGCTTCTCATATAATGGCTGCCAATCTATGCAAATGGACAGAAACTTCCACATATCTGCTTGATTAAGAGTTATTAACAAGAGTTTTATCTTTACAGCCCTCCTAGTCTCAGAGTTGTGCACACAGAAACTTAGTAAATGTGAAGGCAAACAAATGCTAAAAGATTAAGGTACTGAGTTACATTTAAAATAAGAAATTGTTACTTTAAAAAACTCCAGTATATGGGTTGGACTGGCTGAATCAAGTAAGTGAACAAAGGTTGTGGTCAAGAATAACATGCTTAGCCCTTTCCCATCCTCAAGGCCCTCTCCCCACGCCCACAGCAGCTGCTGGCCCCTTACCCTGCTTCCTGCCTCACAGCTCATTGGTCCAGCTGCGCAGCGCCAGGCGGGAGAGATGGAGCCGAGCACATGTACTCTTCTATATAGAAACTCTCATTCTATTACAAAAACTTACATATTAAGAAAAATTTAGACATGAACATCTAACTCTGAGACTGAGATTTCCATATGGAAAACACAACACACCTGTTATGCTTTCAATTGTGGTAACAAAAGTCTCATGAAAGGCTATATTTCAATAGGTAATCAATTTAAAGAACTATTACACAATTTTAAAAATTCATAAATAACCCATTTCACTGTCTATATATACACACTATGTTATCTATACACTCATCTGTTGACAAAATGTCACTAATTTTTTGATAGAAAAATGAAACCTCACTGTTCCCATTAGATTATATGCAAACCAGGGTTAATTATTACTCTCATTCCATAGAAAATAAGGGATGTGGAGTTTGGTGTCTTAGCAGAGAAATGAGAACCATGTAAGTTCTTGCACTTCTGCAGTACAGAAGGAGGATACCTAAGGTAGCCACTAGAGGAAATTTGGGGTTTTTTGGCCTAAGGATGTTCATACACATCACATAATGGGTAAAGGAAACAGTACAACTTACTAATGTTGAGGTGATGTTGTTTATTAAGAACTGTGGTGAGTTATTAGGTTGTGAAATTTTCCTTTCTAGGCCATCTTAGACTTTTTCTTTTTTTTTTTTTTTTTTTTTTTTTTTTTTTTTTTTTTTTTTTGTGGCACCAGAGATCGAACTCAGGACCTTGTGCTCGCCAGGCAAGCACTTATTCCACTGAGCTATTCCCCCAGCATCTAGGCCATCTTAAAACTAGACAGAAGTCAGCTGTTTCAATCAACTTTGTATAAATTCTTTAAAGCAAAATAGACACTAGAAAAAGCTATGCTTCAAGCTAGGAAATGCAAATACTGCACAGGGTCTCCTTGGCTCAGCTTCCTTGACCTTATGGCACCCAACTTCCCTAACTTCTCTTTTATTTGGCAGATCAACTTGCACCCAGTCACACTCACATGACTAGGATACCTTGACAGATACTGGAAGCTTCATAGCACAACCTGATTTGAAATGCAAACCCACCCCCCCTGCAAAAATCAAACAAATACTCAATGTATTTGTTTGCCAAGAGTCATTCTTACAACTAGAGATCAAAATTCTAATGTTAAAACATCTTTGACCACTGGTAGGAAGTAGTATACCCTAAATTTAGAACCAGAAAAAAATAATATTTTTGGTAATTTCCAAATTTTATTTCCAGTAGCTGTAATAACAAAATACCAATAGTAACTCTGCATGGAAAATAGCAACCTTTTAAAGAAACATGGTCATAAGTTAGTGGAAATTTTGGTAAGTTCATTACAAATCAATCTTATGTTTCCTTCTTAGCTCATAATAAAAATACTCCTCATGCCTCAGTGACTGAACATGCATGCCATTCTACTCTCTATATTAAGTAGTGCCCTTCTGGTTGTTCTAAGAGGGGAGAAACCCCCTCACTCCTAGATTTTCCTACAGCATACAAAGAGCAGTTACTGTATACTATGTACTACAGTGTTGCTTTGGTATTTGAACTAATTTATTCAATGATTTTGGAAAAGACAGCCACAAGTCATATTTGTCACCTGATGCAGTGTCTGCAAACAAAACAAAACTCTGCCAAATGATTCTGCTTTTGCAAACCATTTGCATTCATGAACCAAGGTACCACTGTACAAAATTAGATGAAAAATGAAAGAAGGAATGATGATCCTATTTATGTCCTTTCCCTGGGCGTAAAAACACACAATTACAAATGTAAAATGAGTCAAACTTCTATTTTATTGACAGGAGTTCAAAATTAATACAAAAAATGCCTCCTTTGAATGTTGTATTTCTTTTCCTTAAAAGGCTTCTGATAGGTAGATTAAAAGAGTAGCTAAGAGTATTCAGCTTTTGTAGTGAACCTTTTATAAAAGGTTTAATAACATAAACCATCAATATCAGAGCACGTGGTCCCACATTCACTTTAGACCTACAGCTTATCAAAAGAGTAAGATCCCACACTGACTGGCTAAGAGAGCAGCTTACAACTGTTTTAAGCCATTAAAAGTCATTTTTCATAATCTGTCTGACAGTGGGGCAGTTCAGAAAGGAAAAATCCCAAAAGGCATCCCTCTATATTATGTGGAATGTGAGAGAATGCCAACTAATGACCATAAGTGAAAATAAGTCTTGAATTCATGTATGACGCTCTTTCATCACCTGCAAAGTATCAATAAATGATAACAGAGCCTATCAAGAGATTAAAAACAAGATGTTATTTAAAACACAATTGTGATTTTTACTATACTTTCATATTTATGAAAACTAAAGCTGAACAAAGAAAAATTATAGACTTTTCTCATGTACCTTAACTTTTACTGGGACCATAAACTGATCAGATGATACATAGCCCACACTTCTGGACAGTTTTAATAACAAAGAATTTATTATCATTTGCAGATGAAATAAATGCACCGTCCCATACATGAAAGGCTTTAGCAAACCTTCAGTATTTTCCAGATTGTACCAAGGCACAACCAACTGCCCATTTTATGCACCCATTTCTAGTAAAGAAACTAACACCTCCCTCAACGTCAGTTCTGCACTGGTTCTGGTTTATTATACACCTCCAAAACAACAAAAATTTGCAAGAATGTGCGAACACTGTGGTCTTCTCACAGTACTGCTTAGTCATCCTCCTCCTCTTCCTCCTCTTCTTCCTCAAAGCTATCTTCAAAGCCATCGCTGTCTTCCTGATCTTCATCCCCCTCTATTGCTGTATCCCACTGTGGGTGATTTTCTGGCACGGGCTTAGCCTCATGAACTTCCAACTATAAAGGAAAATTAAATACAGACATCAGATATTTAGGGAGCAATACAGAATACAAATCTAGTAAAGAAAATCTTTTCTTTTGTATTTTTATAGATAAAACTAAATGTAACACATTCATTTAGAATAAACACTTCATCCTATGAGTAAATCAACTAACATATAAATGTAGTTAAGTTTCTAACAGTTTGATATCCTAACTTCATACAGCTTATACTATTTGTGAATATAATTCCATAGCACAAAACACTAATATAATTGTGATTAAGCAAGAATTATAACTAATGGGCTGGCCAAATAGCTCAGCAGATTACAGAGCCCCCCCGCCCCCCTGCCGTGCCAGCCCCGGCCCCAGCCCACTCTTTGAGACGGCAATTGAGACTGGGCATGGTGGTGTGTGCCTGCAATCCCAGCTCCTGGAAGGCTGTAAACAGGCAGATCACTACAAGTCTGATCTAGTAGTGAGACCCTGAACACCCTGTAGTCCCTTCCCTAAAATAAAAAGAATCGTAACTGAAGTCTTCTGCTGAAAGTATGACTTTCAAAGAGACATTTTGTAACCTCTAGACTTGGGAAGTAAAATTCTATAGCAAACAAAAGAAATATGGAACTCTAACGGGAGAAAAGAGGTTCACTTTCACTGGTTCCCCTTATTCTCTACTGTCAAACAATACTTTAGCAAAATCTCACTAACATAATAGAACATCTTCTATAAAAAGCTCAAGTGAAATGGTAAACATCTACAGAACTGTGCTTCAAATGACAATGGAAAGTCTATGTTCTAAGATGATTAAAAACTAATAAGTAAATAAATAGTTAATAGAAAAATATTATTTAAATAAACTGCTCCAAGAGAATCAGCGGTAAAAATCTATGTGCTTTTTGTTTTCTCTGTGGTTTTTTTGGTTTCCTGAGACAAGATTTTCTTGGCTTTGAACTTAATATAGAGCCCTGGCTGCCCCTGAACTTACACCGACCCTCCCTCAGCCTCCCAAGTGCTGGGATCACAGGTATACATCACCATGCTTGCCTCCTCATCCCCTGAAAGAAAACAGAATCTATCTGGTGAGGCCCTAGAAGTTACAGTATATTACAACACATTAAAATAATGTATAATCAAGATTCTAACATTTTTTTGAAACAGGATTTCACTCTGTAATTAAGGCTGGCCTTGAGCTCATGGCAATCCTCCAGCATCAAGTGCTGGGATTACAGGTGTGCACCACCATGCCCAGTTAGTCAAGGTTCTTATACTCCTTAAAACTTAATTCAATAACTTAAATTTATTATTGAAAAAGCATGAAATGATTTGTTTTTCTTCTACTTTGCTATGTTTCAAAACCACAAATGCTTTTCTTATGCTTATCCAACCACTCAAAAAGCCACTATATCCTTGAAAAGTCCTTACCCTTACCTTTAATGGTTTAATTTGATCCAAACCCATGTAAGAGTCTGATCTCAAAAACACTGTATACTGATAATTTCCAGGTTTGCCTGGTGCAGGAAATTTTAGTTCTACCTAGAAAATAAAAATTAGCATTTAAAACCCTGTATTTTGTGGAGGTAACAATATCATATACTTAAAATTTCCTGACCGAAGTGCTTTGGTAGCCAGATGTTTGCTCAGGTGATGTACCAAGTCCTAAGAAATGTTACATAAGTCCCAACAACAAATGTATGTAATACTATATAAAAAGTAAACCAAATTAGGAAGAATTTACCAAGTTAATCATATTGCCACAATTCAACACAGAATAAAGTAACCACCAATTTCTATGCTGACCGTTATCCAGATAACTTGAAGAAATTTAATGTGGTATAAATAAATGAGACTGAAATTAATATAATATAGCTCACTAAATAGATAATTCTTGCCCATTTTATTTCAGAGATAAATGTTCAATGCTTTCAAAGGTCAAAATGGTATTTTATTTCTTCAGCAAATAATAAACTTCAAGTATAAATAATCACAAACTCTTAGAAGCTTTACTTCCACTTGGATGAAGAATATCCTTTTAAAATGACATTTGGGGGCCAAGGATATAGCTTAGTGCCACAAGTGCCTGACTGGCAAGAATAAGGTCCTGAGTTTGAGTCCTGGTACCAAAAAAAAACAAACAAACAACATCTGGATACTCAAGTGATTTTTATTTCCAATTTTCAAAATTTTGCAGTCAGCATTATACACTAAAAGAGGCCATTAAAATAATTTTAGAAATCATGGGAGAATCTTCTATCTTTGTTTAAGCTTTCTAACATAAACCTGGATGCTATAAAACTTTAAAATCATACCATAAAAAAAGAAAATAGATTTTAAAAGGTAAGTGCTTATATTTAACCCCCTCCTCCTTGTTTGTGATACTAGGAATTCTATCATTGAGTTATACCTTCCCTTTTTCTGCTTGTTATAAACAATTATATTAGGAAAACAAACTAGGGAGAGATATCTATATTACAAAGGGCTGATTTCTTCACATTTAAAAGTTCCCAAACCAATTTAAAGGACTCAACAAAAATGAACAATCGTCATAAATATGCACACACACAAAAATAAAAACTTAAACATCACATTCACTCCGACATAGAAAATCAAAACTACAACAAATATGTTGAGTAGGGTAAAACCTGATTTAGACAAGAATTATCTTTTTTTTTTTCCTTTTAATCAATGAATGTATGCTAAAATGACTGGGTAAAGGACTGAGGGAGGATGGGATATCCACACATGGTGCAGGGATCACCCACAGATGAGGGAAAAAGCACTTTTACAACAGAAAAAAGCCTCAGTTGAGCCACCTTAGTAACACCAATGTGGAGTAGATTGATATAATATGCCCTGATGTCATGCACTACGTATACCACCAATGTAGTATGCTTGCAAAAATATTTAAGATTAATATAAGTAACCAATAAGACAAATTCATATTGTAATGTTCTACAAAGTATCTCACCTAAATTCTTGAAAAATGTCAAAGTCATAAAAGATTAAAAGCAGAGAATTAACTAACACAATTCAAAGTGTGATCGTTGACTAGATCCTGGACTTAAAAAGAAAATAAAAAATTGTAGCAGATATCAGTGGAATATTTGAGGAAATCTGAGTAGAGACTATATTATCTGGATATAGTAACTTACTGTTGTGAAACTCCTTGAATGATATTACTGTGCTTATGAAGGAAAAGCAAATACATGTCTAAGTTATATTATTGAAAGAAAATGGGAAAGTACAAAACAAAGAACATACTACCTTTTGTATAAAATTTAGGGAGAAAAAGCAATGTATATGTTAACTTAGAATCTACACACAATATCACCTGATAAATATGGAAATCTTGGCAACTTTGATAAACTCCAGGGAGAGAAAAGGATGAATGGGAAAATTCACTTTATGTACTTTTATATCCTCTGAAACTTTTAGGTGAATAGATTACCTACTCAAATACAAATAAACTTTAAATTAAAAAAATAGTTTCAAATACTCTACAAGCTGACTCTACCTCTAAGTGTTAAGTAAACAATATCAAGCTATTTCATATACTTACCATTTCATCATATGTTACTGTACCAAAAATCAACATCTAGAACTATCTTAAAATTCAAAAACCTTGATCTTACCTAAGCCAAGGATGATAAAATCTTTTTTCAAAAAATAACATTTAAAAGAAATCAAGAAAAAACCAGAACATTGTGCCCCTAGGCTAAAAAAAAAAATACATTTGTCACCACTAACAGTGGACAACGATATCTAATCAAAATTTCTACTTTGAAAAATCTAGATCATTAATTCTTTTTTTTTTTAAATACAATACTTAACATTAATCTAATAAAAACAAAAAGCATAAAGTTTTATATTATTAAATTCTGGAGTGGAGTAAGAAAGGTACATGATATTAGCTGCAAGAAATGACAACTGAGGGCTGGGGAGATGGCTCAGCGGAGTAAGCACTTCCCTGGCAAGTGCAAGGGCCTGAGTTCAATCCCCAGCTCCACCAAAAAAAAAGAAATGACAACTGCCAAAAACATCATGATAACTTTTCAAGGCCAGTAAGTTTTTAAAGCCTTCCCTTAACAATTCCTTAAACACTTATGATGAGCACACCCCAGCAACATCAGAGAACAGTTTACAAATTTGTCATTAACAAACAGAATGCAATAAACCAAATATGACAGCGATATTTAAAAAAAAAAATTATGAAGCAACATGATGCTGTATAACGTAAAGAACAGATAAGCTGAACAATTACCTCTTCTGTTTCTTTCAGTGTACACACGTGATATGGCATAGATATTAATGTCTGTTCTTTCCTATCTGCAATATAAAGCCACCACCATTCTTGTTTTTCCTGCAAGGTTAAAAAAAAGAGGGAAGAAGAGTACAAATAGTGAGAACTAGAGAAACCAATTTGGCTTGTCTTATTTTATAGACACTGATCATCATTTTATTCACTGCTATGTCCTCAGCATGGACACAGTACCTGACTCTATAAATATATAATGAATAATCTGTTCGTAACCATTTGTACATCTAGTCCTTACTCCTCAAAATAATTTTGCATGAAATTTTGGGAGTTTCAATGATTCCTTAAGGCCTATTCATGGATCTGTATATCAAAAACCCAATTTACTTTAAATGACAAAGATATTCTAAAAAAGAAAACAACACTGTTATAATGTCATAAAAACAGGGATCTCCAAACTCAGGCCAAAAAGCAGTAGAGGTGAGAGGTAGGAAAGCCAGCTAAGCCTCGCCTGCATTACAGTCACTCTCTGGAGTGGCTCTTATAACACAAAGGCTCTAGTCAGTGATCTATCTGCCTTTAGGAAACCAAACCTACCATAACCAAAAAATGTCACCTGAACTTAACCATGTTCTGCAGAATGTGATTAAATGTATCAACCACACTGAAGTATATTCCCTTAACTCACATTTCTTCATGTAGCTCTGTGAGGTGGATGCAGAGCACACCTATCTTTTCTTATACACGTGGAAGTGAGTTTGGGCTTGTCTTATTTTATAGACACAAACTTTCTAAAGTTAATTCACTGGTCAGAGTTTTTGCGTTATAAAAGCCACTCAAGAGATCTATATTTAAAAAAATAACCACCAAAAGCCCCTATCAGTGACACAGAACAGGCTGCAAAATTTGTTTATCTTCCCCAGTTCTGCAAAAAAAAAAAAAAAAAAAAGGAAGAAAACAACAACTACAAAACTAATTTATCTGTGTGGCATAATCAATCTGCTATACCAACTCAATCTATTACTTCAAGGAAGAATGATGACTATGTTCAAGTCAGCAGATAAAAGGGCTGCATTCAAAGCCAAACCGATATAGGGGTGGACAAGTAAACAATGGAATTTTTGACATGTTTCAAACATTAGGAATTTTCAGCCTTCTGTCTCCTAGCTGGAATATGATCATCTACCTCGGTTTTAGAAAGAGTCTGAGCGTAATTTCTCAACCACAAAAGATCGCACACCAGGGAAGGAAACGATCCACAACCCATTTGTGAACAGGCCAGGTGAACAGACTTTGTCCGTGCCAAAAAAGGACGACTGCTTTAGCCTACAAATGATGGTAGGCTTCAAAGTATGTCTGAGGCCTGGGGGATAGCTCAGTGGCTTAAGCACCTGCCTGGCAAGCACAAAGTCCTGTGTTCGATACCTAGTACAAAAAAAAGGCATCTTTGAGACAACTTCAAATCTGCATCTGTTCTGGTCAAGAATATCCTGATATTGCCAGAAAAGCATTGAGAAGCTTGCTTCCATTTCCAAAATCCTATTTTTGTGCAGTGGGGTTTTCTGCAGTAGGAGCAACTAAAATGATTATGGAGTAGACTGGATATAAGTAACACAATGGGCAACACTGTTTCTTTTTCCATCCCCCAAGTACTGTGTAAGAAAGTAAGCTCAGGGCTCCCATCCATTTTGCAGTATAGTAAGTTCCATGACTATTTTGTTACCATATATAATACTGAAGTATGTAATAAATGCAATGTGCTTGAATCATCCTAAAACCATCCACTTCACCTCACCTCTCCACCCAGGAGAAAACTGCCTCCCATGAAACCAGTCCCTGGTGAAAAAGTGTTGGGGACTGCTGATACAGCACATAATCTTAGTAATTTCACGCAGTAAAAAGCCAAGCCACAAAATAGGAGTGGAAGAAACTTGGACAGTCAAAAACTAAATATATAAAAGACTTCATAGCCCTTCAAGTACCTCACATTCTAAAGGTCTACCTATGTTACCTTTCTCTGCACATTTTAATAAGCTTGGCATTTCTGCTGAACTTCAAAAAGATCAGGGACAGCAAAAGAATGGAGTGAAGAAACTGCCACCAGAATGTACAATGACAACAGGGTGAAACAACAAAAGAAAAATGGCAGATAAATATTTTCTAAAAGAATGCGGAAGGCCAAGCAGTCTGGAAGCACCAAACATCAATGGGCTTAGCAGCTGTCAAGGCTCATGTCAGTAACTGTTCAGTTATCTACTTAGCACCACCTGTTTTAACAATGGGGGTATAGAATGTATCTTTCTAAGATGGTTTTTAAAAAAAACAAATGTTTTGGCACTAAAAGTAAACTAGATATTCTTTTTTTTTTTCCTTTGGTACCAGGGATCAAACTCAGGAACTTGCACTTGCCAGGTTTCTGCCACTGAGTTATCTCTCCACCTCCACAACTTGCCCTTTTAAACAATATATTCCCTTAAAAAAAATTCATATTATAATATATACTTAAAAAAAGGTGACCTAGACAACATTTGAAACGCAGTTCAGAGAGAAACACCCAAGAAGAAAGTGAGTGGAATAAGGAGAACACAAGGCTGAATGTCACTCACCTCAGGAAAATAAAGACTATATACAGGATGTGTGATCTTTGATTTGGTTTCCAAGAGAGCTCTCTCCTTTCTCTGTATACTTTGCTGTAATTCTTGCCATTCCTAGTAAAGAAAAAATAACAATATTTGAAATCTATGACATTTTTGATCATTTCAAGGAGCTATTATTCCTGACAACACAATTAACTACTTAGTGTTGAACAAGTTCCACTCCTACAAATCCGATTGTCTCACAGCTCAAACTCACAATACCTCTGTACCCCAGAGCACATGCTGTTCACAATCAGCCCTGTTCCCCTGCTCCAATCTCTGCCACTGCTCTTCTTTGTGTTTGTTTGGCTCACTGTTTCAAGCTACCCTACAACTCTCTGAGGTTAACTATTTCACACCCTCCTAAACCTTATTTCAGTTTTTGTTCTTCCCTTTCTCCATCTGGAAAATTCATATCCATTTTCTTTTAGTACCAGGTAATGCCTTAAATATGAACTCCTGAGCAAAAGCCTAACCCAATTTTCCTATGCTTTAAAAGTGAGCTGATGCCTCCCCCTTGATATGCCACCACTCAGTACAGAGATGTGTACTGATCTTGTATGTGCCACAGAGTTTATTTACAAGTCTGTCTACCCTGCTAGCCTACCTATCATACAAGGTCAAAAACTACTTCATATCTGGCTTGCGTTCATTGTCAGCTAAGAAAACACTGGTCAGATGATGAATAATCATTTATTGGCCAAATGAATTTATTTTTGATCATCTGAACAAACTAGACTATAAAACCTTAAAAGTCTCCTCTATGAAAACTAAAATACACAGAAACAATTATGTCAACTCTCTCTCTCAAAGTAAGGCTGAAGAAATAATTTATTTCATAGATTATTTCCTGGTAATCACTAATCCTCAAAGTAGAAATAAGTCAAAACCCAGAAACTAGTAAAAACAGTCATCCATACTTGTTTTCTACCATTCCCAAGGAATGTATTATTACTTCTTTTAGCCTGTGCACGTTACCTCTTCCTAGTTTTGACTTTGCCTTTTACCTCAGAGCTATTTAAGGGGTCTTTTTCTCATAAACCACACCTTACTCTTAGATCAACAACCCAGTCAAAAAAGAACACCACAAACAGCTGATCAAGTCTGTATTTCATTTGCAGTGAGTCTCTCAGGACCAATATTTGTTAATCAAATACATACTTCTCAATAGTCTTTCTAAAAGTTATATGCAACTTAATACCATCAAACTTTTCTATACTCTATAAGGTGATATTCTGTAATGTTAATTAGCATCAAGAGTCAAAGTAATGGCTCTCAACTAAACATTACCTTAAAGCTATTACAAAGCCTTGCAAGTAACTACTATTTTACAACCTACCTTTCATTTTCCTATCAAATTTCTAAACATGCCCAATAAGAAAATTTCCTAAAGAAACTATACTGTTGTCACCTCAGATCTAGGTCCTTCTTTACCTAGCAATTTAAGATAACTAAGCATAGTGGTATGTGCCTGTAATACCAACATTTGGGGAGGCTGAGGCAAGGCATCAAAAGTTGAAGCCCAGTCTGGCAACTCAGTAACTTACCTCAATATAAAAATATTTTTAAAGGGGCATAACACGTATGTAGTTTACTGTGACGGCCCTAAACTCAATCCCCATGACCACCCAAAAAACAAACTCTGAAACAAAAAATGATCAGGATTTTTCTATTTGAAAAAATATTTTTTGCCATTCCTGTCATTCCTAAAAAAAAAAAAAAAAAGAAAAAAGAAAAACTAGACGTGGTGGTGTATATCCATATCCCAACACTCAAGAGGCAAACTACATAGTGAGACTGCCTCAAAAAAAAAAAAAAAAAGGCCAACCCAACAGCTCAACACATTAAAACACTTGCTTAGGCAGATGCAGGGACCAGGGTTTGCTCCCCAGCGTGCCAGACTGGCCCTGCCTCCCACAGGGGTGATTTGAGACTGGGTGTGGTGGCTCAAGCCTGTAATCCCAGTGCTTGGGAGGCTGAAAATAGGAGGGTCACTACGAGTCCAACCTGTGTAGTGAGACCCTGTACTAAAAACATTTTAAAAGGTAATAAGTACAAAAAGAGCTGTTAAATAAACAAATAAATAAACTTGCTTACATACACATATCAGTATTATTTAAGACAGGAAAAGACAAGTAAGCAAAGAAATGAATAACAACAAAACCCAAAACAGCCAGGCATGGTAACCAGCCTATAGGCCCAGTGCTCAGTAGGCTAAGGCAAGATCACTTAAGCCTAGGAGTTCAAGACCAGGAAACATCGTGAAAGTCCATTTTAAAACAAAAAAAAGCCTCCCAAATCATTACAAATACAATTTCAGTTATTTAAACCTCTTAAGTCTTACCGCTTCATCATCTTTGTTCTGTTTTTCATCTTGCTCTCTATCAGACTCTCTGTCACTCCCATCATCCTTTTCGCTCTGGGAATCTCTATTGGTTTCTTCTTCTTCAGAGTCACTACCTTTGTCAGAAACTTCCTCTTCATCCTCCTTTACCACAGCTTCCTAAAAAATAGCAACCACAGATGTTCTCAATACTGCAGTGTAGGGGCCAGAGAGATGGCTCAGTGGAATAAGCACTTGCCTGACAAGCGCAACGGTCTGAGTTCAATCCCTGGTTCCCCCAAAAAAATACTGCAGTGTATATTTATCACTCAGTCTCTGAAGCTAGTTGTCAATATAACTAAACTAGCTCAAACTTAAAATTTCACTATTCATACAGAGATGCATAAATATTCCTATTTATGTATAAAGGGCTGAGAGAATGAAGGCTTTATCATTCTGCTTATTTGTCTGTTATTTTATTCACCATAGTTTATAAAATAAAAAACATTTGTATTTATACTTCATCAAAACAGCTACCAGCTTTCATTTGTTTTCATTTTTTTTGTTTGTTTTAGCTACCAGCTTTCAAAACATCAATTATACAAATGTTTTACTTAAGGAAAGGAAATGGGTAATGTATAGAAAACAATTGCTTAGGGAGATTAAGATCACTTTCTATAACTGATGGTTATAATCAAGTAAAGAAAGTCAACTACCTCACAAAATGCGGGTTCACTGAAAGAAGCAAGAAGAAGCACAGCAAATTAAACGCAAAGTAAGAACTGATTATAAGTTCACAAAAATAGAAAACAGGTATATAAGAGAAATTCAAAACAATCAAAAGTTGTTCTCTGAAAAGATCAGTAAGACTGATAAACCCCCAGGCAAGAATGCAAGAAAAAGGAAACACAAATCACTATTTAGAAATTTTAAAAGATATAACTGGATTTGACAGACATTAAAAATAGGATATTATTACTATGCCAATTGACCAACATGAGGAAATAGACAAATCCCTTGAAAAACAAATGTGCTATAACTGATTTAAAAAAAAAGAGAGAGAACATATATTAATGAAACAAACTCTAGAACCAAAGCCTTTTTAAAAACTCCAGGTCAAAATGACTATCTTATAACTATAATGAAAGACAAAGACACAAGGACGAGTAAAGGAGTGGCATTTATATTGTTTTGGATAAAGACTCTGCACAAAGCTGCACCACAGGCATAAACAACAAACGGTTATTTGGTGGAGTGATAAAGGTAAGCATTGCTATTGACAATGGAAGAGCAGCTGAATTCATCCAAAGGAGAAAACTACTTTGATAAATCTAAATGTTACAAATGTGGGGAAAGTAGACACCTAAGTTATGCTTGTCCAAAGAATATGCTCAGGGAACGTGAGCTTTCAATTCAAAGAAGAAAGAAGAAGAAAAAGAAAACTGCTGAACTGGAAGAAATCGAGGATGCAGCAGGAAGTGAGGATGAGGACGAGGACCCCATTCTGGACAGCCTCAGCCAAGCCATCACCTGCCAGCAAGCCAAGATAGAAGAACAAAACAAATGGAAAGTCAGTGTTGGGCCTTGAGACCTCCAAGGATTCACAGTGCCCAAGGATAAAGAAGAACGCATACTTTAGTGACAATGAAGAACTTAGGGATTTGCGTTGTACACTGGAGATGGCAGGAAAACGAAAACTGTCTGCATTACAAAGTGCGGACAAAGACACTTGGGACCAGATGGTTTTTTTTTTTTACAAATAGTGCATAGAAGATGAAACAAAATCTTAAAATGATTGTATTTTGAGTTGGGTACAGTGACAAGTCCTATACTCCTAGCATTCTGGGGGGCTGGGGCAGAAAAACTCGAAGTTCATGTCCAGCCTGGGCAACTTAGGAATTGAACAAAACTCTATCTCAAAATAATTTAAAAAGTTACACCAAGAATATAGCTCAGTGGCAGGACCTGGGTTCAATCACCAATACCAAAATAAAATCTCATTCCTACTTTGCCATGGCATAGTAGACTTAACATCCCTAACCCCAAAATCCAAAATCCCAAACTTTGAGCACTAACGTGATGGCTTGAGGGAAAAATACCACACCATGCAACTGTGGCTCATGAACATTAAGATTACTGTGTCCCCCTGCCTTCAGGAATATAAATGAATTTCATGCTTAGACTGCATTTCCATGCCTAGAATATCACAGATGTATATGCACATCTTCTGAAACGCTTGGGGGCCCAATTTACATTGCTGTTGAGATGGGGTCTTCCGGTGTGGTTCAGGCTGCCTTCCACTCACTGCATAGTGGCTCAGGCTTGCCTCACACTGCTGGCAGTGCTCCTGCCTCAGCCTCTTGAGTGCTGGGATTAGAAGGTGAGCGTCTCTGCATCTGGATGGTCTCACTATTTTGGATAAGGGGGACTACCTGTATTAAAAACTAGGATTTGTTAGTAATGAAAGAACTAATTTTATTATTTATTTATTGCAGAACTGGGGATTGAACTCAGGCCCTTGTGCTTGCCAGGGAAGCACTTATTCTACTGAGCCATCTCCCTGGCCTGAAAGAACTAATTTTAATAAAAACAAATACTGTGGGCTAGGGATGTATCTCAGGGGCACAGTGCCTGCCTGGCAAGCAAGAGGTTGAGTTCAATTCCCAGTACAAAAAAAAAAAAAAAAAAAAAAGCCAAACAAATACTATGATGGTAATGCTATTATAATTCCATAGAAAGGTAGATATTAAAATGATTTATTTGAAAACTTGACTGCAAATGCTTTAGTGATGTCTCGCTGTTTTGTAAGTACTTTGGAGAGATAATTTTTAAAACTGAAACTTCGTAAGAACTGAAAGAATGCTTTATTGTTGATAGTACTGTCAATAATTTTTCAAAAGGATATCTTAAAAACAAACAAACAAAACCAAAATGACTACCCTAGACAATTTTCCAAGTAAGGAACCCAAGTTTGTACAAACTCTTCCAAAAAGAGAACACCTCCTATGTTGCTAATTTTATTAAAATTACTAAAGCTAGCAGAAACTTGATACAAGACTTAAGAGAATTGCAAGCAAGAATGACAAATCAATATTCTCTCATGAAAGCAGATACAAGAATCCAACAAAAGATTACCAAATTCAAGTAAGTTTTTAAAAAGATTATGTTTATAAGCAAGTGAGAATATAACCCAGGCATATAAGGATAGCTTAAAATTTTTTAATTCATTAATATTTAACTCATCACATTAACAAAAGGGGGCAAAAAAGCAAATGGTCAACCAAATAGATTAAGAAAGGATATTCAATAAAATGCACTACTCATGACTTTTAAAACTTCTCATCAAGGGCCAGCCAAACAGCTCAGCAGATTAAAGTGCCTGCAAGCAGGCTCACGGGTTTGATCCTCTGGTCTGCTGCCCTCAGGGCGCACTGAGACAGCAATTGAGACGGTGTGGTGGCATGCACCTATAATCCCCAGCACTTGGGAGGCTGTAAACAGGAGAGTCATTCCCAGCCCGATTGAGTAGTGAGACCCTGAACACCCTTGTAGACCCTTCCCTAAAATACAGAAAAATAAATAAAAATGATAAAATTCAAAAAAACTTCTCATCAAATGGAATAAAACGGAAAACTTCTTATACTTTTAAGTATATCTACAAAAATCATACTTCGTGAAATAATCTTCTTTCTTCCTAAGATTAAAAAAAATAAATACATGGATGTTCACTATCATCATTTCTAATTATACTGAAAGTTCTAGTCAACAGAGAAAGTCAAAAAAGCAGAAAGGAAGGGTATAAATTTTTAAAAGAAAAAAGTGTCTTAATTCACAGCACATCTGCTTGTGTGGAAAGTATAATGAATACTTCATTAAGACTCCATAGAAGGAGTCTCAATTCATCAAGACTTCATGCAAGGTCAAACTTAGCAATCAACTATTTTTCTATATACCAGCAAAAGCATTGAAGAATATTTTTAAAATTTAAGAAACATAAAAGTACCAAACACATGGTAGTAAATACAATGAAAGATGTAACATACTTCTGCCATTGAACATTACAAAACACTGCTGAAAGGATTAAGGAAGCTCCAACTTAAGATAAACCATATTATGATAAATAAAGAATATGAACATGTCAATTTCCTCATACTGAACTACAGTGTCAATATCAATATACATTAAGTATATTTTTGATACAAACTGCTAATTATTCTAATACTTAGCCAGAAAGGCAAAAGATCTACAATAACTAGGACAACTGTATTAATAAGAATTGGAAGACTTCATGCTACCATGTTGCAGGACTTCACTTAAAGCTACAATTAAGAGTACAGTATTGGCACAAGAATAAGCAACTGGAACGAACTAGTCTGTACACCAACACAGAAACAATATGGCCAGTCACTTGCTGTATAATGAAGTGCCACTGTGATTCAGTGAAGAGAGATTACCTTAGTGCTAGAATTACTGGCCCATATTCTACACCTCACACCATTCATGAAAATTAATTTAAGATACATCATAGAACTAAAATGTAACAAGTAAAATAATGATGCTTCTAAAGGAAACAGAAAAATACTTCCATGTACTTCGGTTAGGCTGAGACCTCTTACTATGTGCAGTGTACAATGATAAAATTTTGCAAAACAGGTTTTTTCAAGAAGTTAAATACACCTATCTTATAACTCAGCAATCTACTGCTAGGTTTAAAATGAATGCTATGTACAAGAATAAACATAGTAACAGAACGGTAATTTATGGTATCATATATTCATTCAGTGAAATAATATACACACACACATGCGCACACACACATACACAGAATGGATTACTGTTCCAAATAATACAAAAAGATGAAAGTTATGTGGTGGCACAGGCCTGTAACTCCAGCACTCCTGGAGGTGGAAGCAGAAGTATTCCAAGTTCAAGTCCTGCTAGGGCAATTTAGCAAAAACTTGTCTCAAAATTAAAAATAATAAAAAAGTTGGCAATATAGCTCAGTGCAAAGACCCTGGGTTCTATCCCCAGTACCCCTACCCCTCAAATGTCACAGACAAAATGCTGAATGACAGCAACCAGACATACAATAATTCCACTTATATGATACAAGGAAGACTAATCTATGGTGCATATAAGCCAAGTAATGGGGGACAGAGGGCTGAGGAGGTCACTAGAGGGGTTACCAAGTATTAGTTTTCTAGCACGCTACTAGGACTTTTAATCTTCATTTGGATTTAATGGGTACACAGAGATGTAAAATTTCAAGAGCTGCACACATAAAATTTGAACATTTTAGAATATATTATAGCTCAATAAAGGTAATAATGATAAAAAATAAACTCACATTCCCAACTACTCCATTTGCCTGCTTTTGTTTCTGCTGCTTTGACTGTGGTAGTGTCACAGGTGTAGTTTTTTTTTTTAAAGGTTTCTTTTTTTTTGACTTAGCAGTTTTCTTGGGTCCTTTACTCTTCTGCTGCCATCCTGCTTTCGTCTTGTTCTTGTTAGCATCACTTTGCTGTAAATTGTAACACACTTCACATTCAGTAAATCACAGTAATAGGTTGCAAAGTTACAGTATTTTTTACATGGAAATGGCTTAACTAAATATCTGCATAAACTGAATTGCTCTCCCACAATAATATAGCCAATCAGAAAATTAAATAAAATATTGGCTTCACCAGGAAGGACAGGTTAAGAAAAAAGTTTTTACCCCATCCTCAGCAGGCTGTTCCTCTGCAGCACAGATGGACTGTTCCTTTTCAAATACTTCCTATGGTTAGCAAGAAGAAAAACAAATCTGTTAACCTATGTTTAACTTTCAAAGGATCAAAGATATCTTTCAAAATGTGTATTCGTTATGTTGGTTGTTTTGTTTTTGGCAGTACTGGGAATTGAACTTGGGTCATTCACAGTAAGCTACATCTTTAGCCTTTTCAATTTTTTGAGACTCCTGTAGCCTCCCAGAGTGCAGAGATTTCAGGCATGTGCCTCCATACCTAGCTGGTTAAATTTTTTCACTGGCTACAATTAAGAGAAGTAAACCTAAAAGATGTGTGAATATGCAGGTGGCTACTTTCTGAAATATAGTGTAACTGTCTTGAATATATTTTGAAAAGCACAACCTACTTAAGTAACAAATACAATGACTTGAGATATGTAAATTGAGTGGTTATAAAATCAGAATTACTTTATTACAACAGAGATGATCTAAAACTCAAGAGATCAGCACACTGGCACACCACCAACTTTTAAAAAAGGGGTTATAAGAATACAACATGTCTAACTATGAGTATGATAGGTGTAATGAATTGTATGACTGTAATGAATTACGAGACCTAACATATTTACTAGTTCAACCTCTCCAGAAAAAGGTTGCTACTCCCTAGTCTAATTGTATCATCACTTCCTCATTTCTTCATTTATTACCTGGATTTAATATGTAAGGTACAGCTCATACAAAAACTGAAGGGAAAGTTCTTGATTCTTTTACTTAATCCAGCTGATTTTATATTTTGTTCTTAAGAACTACCCCCTAAATACCAACAGCCCAAGATCAATTCTTTGCTCATTTGTCAGGCAGGACACGCCAGAGTTTTTGAGTAATGTAATTTTAGGTTTTACACTCAATTTTTGCACAGGCTTAGAGGTATCTTTCACTCAAGATATCTCTTGATATCATAAAACCAGTATTTTTGATTTCAGATATCTGACTTCAAAATATGACTTTCCAGGGCCAAGGAGATAGCTCAGTAGAATAAGTGCTTGCCTGGCAAACGCAAGGTCCTGAGTTCAATCCCTGGTACTGCAAAAAAAAAAAAAAAAAAAGACTTTCCTACTAGTGACTTTAGACATGGGAGTTTAAATGCACCATGTACTTCCTGCAGATTAGCAGAAACCCCAGAGCAGAAGATCTACTATCAGTTGAATAAACTAGTCTACTGAACCAATGAGTTTCAAATATTCAAGTTTACTTGGTAATACAAATAGAGAAACAAGATACAAAAAATATACAATTAACAGAAAGAATGAGAGAAGTACCAATGTACAGGATGGATATATTACTGTAAAGGTCCAAATTGTATTTATGAACATGGAAAAAGAACACAATGCACTCAAACTGAATTCTGGTTATCTTAGGCTGATAAGTATGAGTGAGAGAATGCCTAATCTTAAAAAGTAAACACTTAATTCTACTATATACTGTACATGCATTATATTTTAAAATAAGCTTTAAAGCTTATCATCTCAAAGTAGAATATTAGATGATTTTTATCTCTCCCTAGATTTTTCTGCATTGCTTCAATTTTTTCCAGATGACATAAACTTTTTATACTATCAGAAAGTTATTTTTAATTTAAACTTTCAAAAGTTTAAATAAAAAAATTTTTAAAAAAATTTTGAAAAATAAAATAAAAATAAATTAAAGAATTAACTAAAACAGCCAGACATGGTGGTATATGCCTGTAATTCCAGCACTCAAGAGGCTGAGGCAAGAGGACCATAATGAGTTCAAGGCCAACCTGGCTGTACAGTGAGCTCAAAACTTGCCTGAACTACATAGTGAGACCCTGTCTCAAAAAACAAACAAACAACTATTTATTACATGAAGAATTAGCCCATCTTTAGCTGTTTTTTTTTTTTTTTTTGGTGTTTATGAAAACTGTCATAAAAATTAATATGAAATTTCAAAACAGCTAACAGAACTTATAAAATCACATCTTACTACAGCAGTTTTGATTTTGAGAAATTACTTAAACTAACAAAACTAAATATAAAAGGTTTGACATATTACTCTCAAAGTACAAAATACAAAGATTACTTACTGCCATTGTTTGTCTCGTCAATTTTACCAACACTGTAACTAGGGATCCTACTGTGATGTTATTGCTGTCTTCATCATCCAGTACTATAAGATGGAAGGAAAATCAGCAAAGAAATAAAGTTCTATGTGTATGCAAGGAGCAAAACGTGACTTATCTACATCAATCTGTCTCTTTAAGCATATCATATTTAAATTTATTAAAAATAATCAACTAAAAAAAAATAATCAACTGCATTAAACTCTTCAGTTAGGTGCCTCCAATTGACTGATTTAACCCCTCAATTAACTCTGCAAAGTACTATCGTCACTTCCATTGGTTCAGAAATAAAGTAAAATGCACACTCACAGAACAACTACACTGGCTTTGCCAAGTTTCAAGCCAAAGTCTTTGCAAGTACAATGTAATGTGAGAACTACAACTCTCTTTCATAGCAACATAAAAATGGGGTTCTTGCACTCTATAACACACATATTTAAAAGATTTTACCTGAACGATCAATGCCTGATACAATAATGAAAGCTAATACTGTAAAAAAATCACCTTAGATCAAAATGGTTAGTATTGATATAGAGTTACATTCTCTTAATGAATAAAGGGATTTGTTCTAATGGTGTTTGTAAATAGGATATCATGTCCGCATCTTATACAGCAATTAACCACTAGGAAGAATGTATGCAATGTGTTAATTATTGAATCTGTCCTACCAATTTGGTTTGAAACTGTCTCATTGCTATTTGTTTCTCAATAAAATTATGGGGGAAAAATAAATAAATAAATAAACCTAAAATAATTTTTTAAAATATATGGAAAAAATCACCTTAGAGAATTTTTTTAAAGAACACGAACATATCTTCTTTACATTAAATGCATCTTAAAAGCATTTTGCTGTAAATTAAATATAATTTTTCATAATTCTTTAATTTTTTAAAATAATAACACTAATGTTCTTTAGTACGTACTTTTGTCTAAAGCTTTTTTTAAGGTTTTCTATGCCTGTTTTACACCACATTTTGGACACACTGTGTTCTAGCCTCTAATAAGTATTCACAATGGGAAAACAATGGCCTCCAACAACCTATAACTGCTAACTCCACTAATGGCTGCAATGTGTAAAGTAACGATATCAGAAAATGATGAAGTATCCCTTCACACTAGAAGTCTCCATTATAAAAAAATAAAAATAAACCCCGGGCCACATAGTCTTATAAAATAACTTATAAATAGATGTCTACATACCATTTGATAGTTTAAAATGAATAGGACAATCATGAGACTCTACAAAGTCTCCAGCATTAAAGGCAAGTAGAGATCCATTATCTCCATCACAATATTAAGCAATGTCTGTTCCCTGCTTCTTTGAGCCTATTTTACCTTCAAACTGTACCACATATGTTGCATATATGTATAGCTATAGATAACACTCTAAAAAAAAAAAAATCTATACAAGATGCTATGGAATAGAACACTTGATAATGTTTCCCAGTAAAACTGAACACCTGGGCCAATGAGATAGCTCAGTGGACTAAGGACCTGCTTATTAGGCAACCACAGGGACCAGGGTTCAATAGCCACACTATAGGGCACTCCAGCTCCATCCCCAGGCACTCTGAGTCAGCCACTGAGACCAGGCATGGTGGCGCACATCTGTAATCCCAGCAGTGGGGAGGCTGAAAATGGGAGGATCAACTATGAGTCCAAGGTGCATAGTGAGACCCTATACCAAATACGGAAAGAAGGAAAGAAGGAAGGAAGGAGGGAGGGAGGGAAGGATGGATGGACGGACGGACGGACGGACGGACGGACGGACACAAAGACACTGAACAGCCTTACTTTCTTGTAAAATCATGGGAAAAAACCTTCTAACATTGATTCTTCTAAGAAGCATAGGCTTTATACAATCATGTCAAAGATTACCTCTGGGTCCCAAACTAAATTTTTATTTGAACATTTTCTGGTGAAGTCAGTGTAGTTAGTTCTAAGCTCAGCTTTCCTATTGTTGTTTTTAAGTCTGAAAACTCACAACCCCCAAAGAAAATCCCAAATCCTTGCCAAAATGGTCCAAGTTTTTACTCCAGGTTTTACTATGCATCCCATATTCTAGGCAAATTGATATCTTCAGTTGTACTCTTTTCTTTCCTATCTCAAACACCCATTCTGAGAAGAGCCTTTTACCTCTTCTCAGTTCCTATTAGGATACAAACAGTAAGGCAAAGATTGTCTTACTGCTGCTTCTTTAGCATCCAAAAGAATACATGGCACTCAATATTTGTTTCATGAAAATATGGCACAATGTCTGTGTTACTCACTTAATACTCAGCATATGTTCTCGTTTTTTAGTCCTATTTCCCCACTAGCTGATGACAGCTTTAAAGACAGAGTCCACTGCTAGCATATTCCTATATTCTAGGTACCTGTAAGAAGGCTCTCATAGCAGTGAATCTGTGAATGCTAAAGTTCAGAACAATACTACAAACACACAATGAACGAGCAGATCATCTGTCAATGTCCTAAGATACTATGTAGCCATTAAAATAGGACAGGGCAATTACATTTGGAGTTTTAAAATTTGAAATAGACATAAAGACAGAGGTAATGTGACAAAAAACACAAGAAATAAGGTAGAAAACATGGTAATTTAAGACTTAATACAAAGAAGTTGAGGGCTTTAAAAACTCAATCCTAAGTAGCTATTTTTTTGTAATATTTCAAGTCCTTATTCTTCTATTACACTGGAAGTCTCTTCCATTCTTCAAATTCCTGAATGCTGAGCTACAGAAAACAAGTTCTCACAGTTAATCCCACTGTGACAAAAATAAAAGTAAGGCTACATTAGTTTCCTACTTTAATAGGAAAAAAAAGTTTCCTGGAAGAAAAGAAAAACAAGAAAAGCTAACACACGGACTCTTAAGCAAGAACTACTGTCTTCAATTTATATTCAACTTTGATAATAAAAATCTTTAATAAACCTATGCAACACTCATTTTTTGTATTTTCTAAATATAACTGTTACTGCAATAAAAAAGATTAAGTATATATTTATCATTTCCCATTGTAGTAAATCTGACAGTAAAACTATACTTTTACAAAGTTTATTTATTTATTTATTTTTGTTCCTCGAATGCCTTCAGGTCACTTTTGGCCAGCAGGAGAGTTGTGAGGTTCGAACTCCAGCAACCTGAGGCTGACAGCTTTGTGGAAGCAGCCACTTAAAGGACTGAGCTAGGGCCAGGCCCCCTACAAAGTTTATTTTAAATTATGTTATTAAACAGTGTTCTGAGAATGTTGAGTCAAATAAATGAGAACCACCCTATCTAAAGGGAACCCATGTTCAACAAGGAAACTTTCCACTTACCTTGTGATTTTATATCCATAGTTACATAAGGAAAACTCCCAAGGACAGCCATAACTTCTTCATATTTTTCATCTTCAAGGAAGTGTAGTAGGCTGTGACGATCTGGTTCCTTCAAACTCACCAAATCTTGTATAGTTTTAATTTTGTACTGAATAAGGAAAGGAAAAAGTCCTCTAACTCATAAAACTTCTCATAAAAAGAACATCATTTGTAAACTAAAAGTTCAGTAACTTTTTTAGAAAAATGTGAAGACTATGCATTTCAAAGCAAGAAATAAATACATAGCATTTTATATACCTTTTTCTCCAAGGTCATTTAAAGATTTTTTTTTAAATTACAAAGTCAATACAGGATTATTTCTTTAATTAGAAAAATAAAGATGCAAGCAGGGCAGCACATGCCTATACTTCCAGCACTCTAGGTGGCTGAGACAGGAAGATCCCAAGTTTAAGTCACTGACTCAGTGACTTATGGTAGGGTACAATACTTCAAAGTAAGAAATAAAGGGGCTGGGGATATAGCTCACTGGTAGAACACTTGTCTAGCAAAGTGGAAGCCCTTGGTTTGGTCCTCAGCACCAAAAAAAAAAAAAAATAAATAAATAAAAAGCTAAAATAAACAAAGAAAAGAAAAAACAAAAAAGGTTGGATTATAATTTAATGCAAAGGCTGTGGGTTCATTCACTGCCCAGTTCTGGAAAGAAAAAAAAAAAAAGGAAAAGCTAACACACAGACTCTTAAGCAAGAACTACTGTCTTCAATTTATGTTCAACTTTGATAATAAAAATCTTTAATAAACCTCCCAAACATAGCTGTTCATTGTGTTTACTATGTAACACTCATTTTTGGTATTTTCTAAATATAACTGTTACTGCAATAATATCCATGTTGTTTAAATGTGTGTTTGTAATAATGTTTTTTTAATTTTTAAGTATTTGGTCCTAGCTATTTTTACTTTCACAGAAAGTATACCTTGAAACAGGTGACATTTCTGGTTTTGAATTCAGAGGTTATGATTTAACATGTTATGACCAAATGGATAAAGGCAATAAAATTACCTTAATCCGACATTTTTTTCTTAAATGCTTAATTTTTGTTTACAGTAAACAACTACCTAATGTTTAAGAATGAAATGATTGAAAAATATACAACATAGTTTTACTTGGTATACTTATTCCTGATAACAGAAGCAGCAAAGGGTTAAATGCCAAAATACATTGACTTTCAAAATACAGTAACCTCACAGCAGTAAAACATTATGAAGTCACCATCCAACAAAGAAAATGTTACTAGATCCACTTGAAAGTGAGTTTTGGAATTTTTGCAATGGCCCAAATCTAAGAAACTCATAGTAACCATTTTTACTTACACTACTGTTAAGTGACACAAACCACTAAAATTTTTCAGAGAAAAAAGAATTACCTTTTTATGATTAGAAACTCTTCTAAGATTGTCCTCTTCGATGTGAGGGAGCTGTAGAAGGGGAGATTTAAACTGCTGAAGGCCTTGAACAGCCATTTGTGAAAGCTTCATGCAGTTTTCTAAGGATGCCAAAGTTGGAGCACGAAACTCCCTTTCTTAGAAAGAATAGAAAAAAAAAAAACAACAGGGCTGGACTTTTTACATGTTCAGGAGCAAACAATTCATCATAAAAAGAAAATTATTTGTAGTAATATTTTTATTATCTCAAATCTTAAAGATTATAGTATTAATTTTCCTTTAAAACTTTCTAGAGAATCCATCCATAAAGTATGAAAAATTGGTCATAAGCACATTAACCAGCAACAATAATTTAAAAATTCTTTCCATCAGCTCCAGTAACAAACTGTCAAGCATCATCACCACCATCATCATCAGTGTTATGAATATACTGATTCTACACCAAGAACTAACATCACCCATAGTCAGTTACCACTGTCTTTTCCAAGGTTCTCCCTTTTCCCTGCTGACCCCAAATTCCAATTCTCTTCCTCCCATGCAAAAATTTATACATCACGGGAATCATCAACATATCAAACAATTATTTCAAACTCACTGTTACATAATAAACTCCAAAATATTCAAAAAAGGCAAAAAAAAATGTTAAATCATTGCAAAGCTAGCCATAAAACAACGAAATGAGAAAAATCATGAGCAATAATTGGGAAAACTAATTAAACTAGTAGACAGAAATATAACAAGTACCATAAATCTTAAAAGTATCAAGTATAATCTGCATATGCTTGCAAGAAAAAGTGAAACATAATTAATTACATTTCCTCCTCACCTTCACGGCTCCGGGCCATTATTATGAGTTGGCAAATCACATTAACCATTTCTTGAAGTAGCGCAGGGCACTTTTTCAGCATAAACTGCTGATCTGCAAAACAAACAAAAACCTGAAGTAAAGCATTCTAATATTATACTTACAACAACCCAAGATTAATAATAAATTTAAGTTGTTCTACATATATTTCACAAAAACTCAGAATTTTACAGGTTGAAGGGAAAAATTTCTCTTTCAGTTCACTATCAGAAAATCCTGCATGTGAAATGTGCCAAAGGCAAAATTTTAATGCAATGGCATTAATAAATTTAATAACTATCTTTTTAAAAAATCATGAATTTAATCATACTCTTACTATTTTTGAGAAAATTTCAAATTTTCTTCTTAGTTTCTACGATTACAGTAAGTTCCAAGATGAAGAATGAGAATACAGGCCAAATAAACAAAAGAGAGATAGGAAAAGGAAGAGGACGATAGACTCTGCATATAAAACTTTTCTTTTTTTTTGCTCTGAATGCCTTCAGCGCAGGTTTGGCAGGCTTGAGTTGTGGGGATCGAACCACAGCAACCTGGGCCTGACAGCTTTGTTGAAGCAGCCACTTAAAAGAACTGAGCTAAGGGGCAGGCCCCCTGCATATAAAAGTTAACTATTCAGACATCCACTGGGCTCAACTGACTCTAAAAAAGTGTCCCTTGTTTCTAAAACATGGCAGGTAAAAATAAAAATGGTTATGTATCTGTTCAGAATATTAGTAAAACAATTACTAATCAGTATTTCACAGTAATTCCAGTGACAATGCTTAAATAGTACACCATTCCACCATAGCATTCTTTCTATCACTAATTCCTAAGTACTGAGTGGCCTTGTTTTCAGAAGCATTTGATTTCTTTCTTAGCGTTAGGGAAAAAAGGGATAAGACTCCACTGAATAGGAGTATTTATTTCCCAAGATAACTTTCTTTTAAAACTTCAAGTGAAATAATACAGGTAAGGAAGAGACAATTCTCAAATTAATGGAAACACTCTTATCCAAATCCACTGCTTTTATTTTAAACAGAATAAAAGGCTTCAAGCTTAAAATGAGGATCAGATACTATTAGTAACTGTGTAGGAGGGAAAGAGCAAATTGTGCAGAGGACAAGAGTTTAGTGGAGATACAAGTTGTAAAATCACTTTGTCTTCTCTAAAAAGCTTACATACTTTTTTAAAAGTCATTAGGAGCTTTTTATACAATCTTCAATTAAATAAATATTTCTCATACAGAATACTCTTACTTGAGGGCTGGCCAAATAGCTCAGCGGATTAAAGCGGCTGCTTAGGCAGACACAGGGCCAGGGTTTGGATCCCTGGACCTGCCCTGTCAGCCATGCCCGTGGGGCATGCTGACACAGCAATTGAAACTGGGTGTGGTGGCACACACCTGTAATCCCAGCCCTTGGGAGGCTGTAAACAGGAAAATCACTATGAGTCTGATCTATGCAGTGAGACCCTGTATACCCTTACACGCTGTCCTAAATACCAA